CCGCGGCCGTCTCGCCCGTGCTGGGCTGGGACCCTTGGGCGGGCGCGGCTGGTGGTCGGGCAGGGCCGTGTTCGGAGGCAACGCCTGGTATGGCCGGAGCCGGCGTGTCCGGCCCTGGCGGCCCGCGGGGCTCCCTGCTCCTCCCCGGCGCCTCTTCCTCCGCCTGCCGCGGCCTCCACGCGGGGCCAGGGCCGGCAAAAAGTAGTTAAGGGCGTTACCGTGGGCCCTTTCCTTACGACAGGGGAGTTTGTGCAGTTCGAATGCTTGGGGAGTTGCTTCAAAGGCTGTGAGAGCCTTGAATCTAGCAGTGGCCTTAAGTACATTCGCGCCTAACTCCTGTCAATTTTTGCTGTTCCCAGGTGTTCAAACGCTTCGTCGAGATTGGCAGAGTTGCTTTTATTTCCTTTGGGCCACATGCTGGCAAGCTGGTGGCCATTGTGGATGTCATTGACCAAAATAGAGTAAGCTATGAGTGCTCTACTTTTATTTTCTCCTTTCTGCCTTAATAGAAGCTTGTACACTAAGACGAAGTGTATTTATTTTATAGGAAATTTTCTGTGAACAGATTTTTTTCAAAGAAATAAGCAACTGACAAAAAAGGTGGAATTTAATGGCACTTGTATTTGAGATTTTCAGTAGTAAGCTTTTTTCACTGCCAAGTGATATATTCCCTTCTCTGCTATGTTTCCTAATGATAGAAGTGGACAAGTGAGGTCAGGTGGAGTGGAATGGAATTAATGTCTGTTTAAAACAAATGTTTGGGCTAGGGAACTCTGCACTTAATGTTCCTGAAAAAGCTGGAAAAAAAATAAGATGAACTGGTATGTCATCTTAGTTCTGTGTGCATTTTTTAAAGTTCAGGTTTTTTTTTCCAAAGACGAAGATAAACCTTTAAAATTATTTCTGTAAAGCTTAGATTGTATATGCAAGACTTAACAATATTGGGTTTTGTCAGAATAACATTTATTTCAATTTTGAACTGTTTTTGTCAAGATACTGTTCATACATTATTAGGAAGCTGCTGTCTAAATCAAGTGTGATGGGAAAACTGCTACAAGCCCCCCATTTGTTTTTCAGGCACTAGTTGATGGCCCCTGCAGTGGTGTCAGAAGGCAGGCTATGCCCTTCAAGTGCATGCAGCTGACTGACTTTGTTCTCAAGTTCCCACACAGGTGAGTTGTTGGCATTTTTTTGACCTGTATAAAAATCCCATGCTGCCACCTGATGACTGAACTATGTGATCTGATGCTCACTAAATCTAAAATGTTCATATGACGTTGTCAATGGGTTAATTTAATACATGTGCACAGTACAAGTTTGGCAGACTGTGTTAGCAGACTTGAATACATTGAAGTTTTCATGGCCAGTATTGGCTGATGACTGTTCTTTGGGAACAAAGGAAATAGCACACTGGCCTGGGCAACTTGCAGATACTTGCGGAATGGATGGTGTGGGGGGAAGCAGTTACAGTAAATACCGTGCAGCTTTGATTCTGCTACTGTGTAGGTCACCTTCAGACATGAAATAATTTCCCTGTCTGTAGAACTACACTGGAATTGTAGGAGGCTGAACACATTCTGTTCTTCTTAGCTTAGTTACTATATGAGTTTCTGCAATTTAGAAACAAAAATTGTCTTTCTGATTCTGAAACAGTGTTAGGAATAGCACATGAATATACCTCTTGGAGTTGCTCATCCATCAAGCATCCATTAGCAAAGCATTTACAAAACAAAATGTTAATTATGCCACATAGATGTATCTAGCATTGACTTTAAGTGTCTGAAGTAATGTAGAAGGGTGATCTTCCCTTGTAGGAAATTTGGTGGGCCAGCATCAGAGAGAACCTTTATTTTTATAAAGACTCTGAATATAATTTTGTGTCTGTTCTAATGCAGTGCTCGTCAGAAATGTGTGCGACTTGCCTGGGAGAAGGAAAATATAAATCAAAAATGGGCAGCGACAAGATGGGCAAAGAAGATTGAAGCCCGAGAAAAGGTACAAAGTTTTTCACTTTGTACTGCTTCTGCTTATTAAAATCAGGTGGATTCTAATAAACTGTGTTTTCGATTGCAGGCTAAGATTAAAGCTAGACAAGGCATAGATTTTTAAAAGTTGCTACCAGTCAGCTTCAACTTTTTGTGTTTTAACAGTAGATGTGGTTTTGTTCAGTCATTTCTATAGCCACCTTTTTTCCTGCACCATCATTCCTTTGCACCCAGCGAAGGGCTTAAATAGTGAGCTAGTTCCAGATGTGCAGCTAAACCTAATTTATAGATTATCAGTTACTTGTTGAAATACTTTGAAACTGAGTTTTACTACTTGTGTATGTATATATCAGAGCTTCATGTCTGTTTCTTTTCAAACAGAAAGCCAAAATGACTGATTTTGATCGCTACAAGGTTATGAAAGCAAAGAAAATGGTAAGTGTTTGAGTGTTACTCTTTGTAGGGTTAATGCTTGTAGTTTTCACTTTAGTCACGTACAGATGTTAGCAGCTTTACTTTTATAGCTGATTTGGGTTATGGACTGGCACAAAGTATATGACTGCCTTGAATTTTTCATGCTTTTTTGGTCACCACTTTCTCCTCAGTAGCTGCTCAAACTTGAAACAGTGTGATCTGTTTGTCAGTCCTGCAGGTTATAGTTGAGGAAGTAACTACCTGCTGATGAAATCAGATATTCTTGATGGGTTGCTGTTAGTATTTCATTCTGTAGTGAAGGTCTTTGCACATGAAATATTGGGGTGCCCAAGTTACCAGCCAGAATGATGTTGTCCCCTTAGTAGATCAGAAGCTTTATGTGGAATTTGACATTTTAAACATAACACATGGTAAATCTTTTGACTATATAATTGATTTAAATATTTTGACTATATAATTGGTTAGCAATTATCAAAAAATACAGAATCTGAAAGCTTAGACTTCCAGGTATTATATTTGAGCTGTTGCTGCTTTCATTCTGATGAATAGTAAACATTTGTATTTTTTACAGAGAAACAGGATCATCAAGCATGAAATGAAGAAGCTCCAGAAGATGTCTTCTAAAAAAGGCAAGAAGCCAGAAAAGTCAGAGAAGTCGGAGAAGGCGCCGAAGGCACAGAAGGCGCCAAAGTCAGAGAAGGCGCCGAAGGCACAGAAGGCGCCAAAGTCGTCAGAGAAGGCGCCGAAGGCACAGAAGGCGCAGAAATAAAATGAACTTCTTGTTATGTATGACTGTCCTGTTTCTGATTCTTTAAAACTAACAAATGGCTAAACATCTGATTTAAATTGTAATCATAAGTTCACTTTTGCTTCTGACCAAGAGTTGTTGTCTGTCTCATTTATTAATGTCCAAGTGTTGGGTTCTGGTGTTTTCCAGGAACACGCAGAAATGTTTTTTGTCACATTCTGTGAAGTTGACCGTACAGACTGTGCTCAGTACTCCATACCTAATGCCCATTGGAATAGTTGCATACTCAGTTATTTGAAGTAGGTCAGATTCTGACATTTTAAAGCAGTCTGCTATTTAAATGGTTGGGAATGAACAAAATTACTTGCACAGTCTTGAGTGTGAAAGATGAGAAATAATCAATTGTGCTACTTTTCCTACATAAATTAAGGCATAAACTGAAAATAACGTGTTCTGGTTAAACAGAAGTTATGTCAGTGTTGGAAAGACTGACAAATTGATGTTCAAATGCTTTAAATTACTTCATATTTTCTAAAAAATTTCCACTGTTCTTTAAGTAGTGATCTGGAATACTTCATATGTCTTAACACCACAGTGTCCTGCAAGCACAGTTACAATAATTAATGACATTAACAAGCTGGAAATTGGTGACTTGTGTTTAAGCATGCTTGTTTTTTGGAATGTTCAGAGTTTATGTCAAGACCTGAGCCTAATTAGTCCCTTAAACTGTGCAGTTTATAATTCCTGCTTTTTAATCAAAACTATTAAGTAAAAGGGGACATGACCTAAAAGTTTCTGAATCCACCTGAAACACTGAAGTGCTAGATTTAGTCTTTGGACTATAAAATCATGTTGACACATTTCAGTGTCAGCATCCATCTTTTTCTGTATTTTCTCCTGTGTAGTTTGTTGGCAGGGGATATATTTTCTTCATATTGAATGAAGATCTCTGGTAATTGAAAAGCAAATTATTTTTACAATCAAATATAAAATGGAGGTGGTAAGACCTTTAAATGTATTGTCATATATAATCAAATGTGTATTGTCAGATACACCCATAAGCATGTGCTTTTACAAATGTGTGCTTTTTAAGTAGTTGGATGGCTGGCATTGCTATTTTCATCCAGAAGTGGGCATCTGCAAGCTCAAACACTTAAAACTATACATTGTGGTCTTTAGCTGTTTATATGCCTTTGGAAATTGGGTTCAAGCACATGGTTGCTAAAAACAGATATAACAGATATAAAGGAAAAAGAAATGATGCAAACTGGGATTAAAGCCCATGTTCAGACACCTGGAGATACTGATTTTGATACTGATTTTAAATGATTTTAAAGTGATTAAATCCACCTACTCTGAAACTTAACTTGAAAGATCTATCAATGTGGAGGTCCTTTCAGGTGAAAGAGTTGTTCCTTAGGGTTTGGGGGGGGGTTTATGTACTACTGTTAGGCTCAGTTATATAAGACAGGAAAAATTCATAGAAGTGCTTGTAGAGAAAATAGATGTGCCTTCAATCCTAATGAGCTCACAAATGCTTATTCTGTGTTATTTGCTCATTTTTAAAGGTGCTTGCTTCCAAATAATAACTTTGGCTGTGACTGCAGCAATTTATCCTGTGTTTTCATTCCCACCAGGACCACACGGAAATATTTCCATGATAGGAAGCATGTTGTAACCTGCCAGCCTGCCTAGCAGCTCTCGTATTCCTGAGCAGGAGCCTTGTAAGGGTACCTACCAAACATGCCTAGAACAAGGGCTGCCTGCGGCCGGTTGTGTTGGCCCCAGCACTGCGCCAGGCAAAGGGATGGGTGTGCTGGGGGAGAGGGGCGTTAAAGATGAAGGCACTATTGGGCAGAGAGAATGTTACGTGCCTTAGAAGAAAACTTGATTCTGTAATACCATGTCTGCCATCACATGCTTCTGTGAAGGTACCATTTTCTTACATTTTGGAGGAAAGGGGAGAAGAAAAATAGAATATACCAGTCTTCGGTACCTACTGGTGCTCTGTGTTTCTGACAGCATGTTCCGGGTGAGCAGCATCTGGTCCTCCTTTTAGCAACTCGGGAAACCTCCCCGAAACCTTCTGCAGCGCTCTACCATTTTCTATCGTATCCCCTTCTTGCCGATCCACGAGTGCTGTGCCATCTGTGCTGGGTTGTCCTTTTCTTAAAAGCTGCGGGGAGACAGAAAACTACCGAAGCACAATTCTGTTTTGGAAGGTTACCACACGATGGCAACGTTGGCTCTTTACAAGGTGGCTCCTAAGGCTCACCCAAATCATGCCACCTTGCTGCCTTTCCCTGCAAGGAGCGGTGCCCAGGAAAGGGCATGGTACAAACACTTTGAGAGCAAGGGACATGCTTATTTCTTTATTTTGCCTTCATAGTTGACTCAGATGGACGTTGCTGCACTCAGGATATACTTCTTTACTTTGTGGAGCTGAGTGCAAAGAAATAGGATCTACCATTTAAAAAAAAGCTTGAAGTCCCAGTGTTTATTTTCTCAGCTTATTTCATGCAGAACATGTAGGGACCTTGCAGGGGACAGAGGGGGGAAAACTGACACCAGAAGATAATTACCATACATCATACACCGATACCAACTCTGTCCTCATCTCTGTACCGCAAAGTCTGGGAAACATGAGCAATTCTAGGAGTAGAATTGGACCCCTTAGCATAACGTGTAGTTAAAAGGTATAAAATCTGCTGTTACTGTGAACCAGCTGAAGTTCTGGGCCGAGTGGTTTGCTGGTGATGCATATTTCTTCTTCAAAAAGGCTGTATTTAAGTGCTTTTTGGCTCTTGTCTAAACATGTCTGTTTCTGTGTTTGGCATCTGAATGTGGGTTTTTTTGTTTGGTTGTTTTTTTGTTTTTGTTTGTTTGTTTGTTTGGTTTTTTTGGTTTTTTTTTTAATGTAATGGACCTCAAAGATGAGTCTCTGGATTTACTGATCTTTCTGGTTTTCAAATACCAGTATTCAGACTGTCCTTTTGTCAAGATTTGCTTGGTGACCATGATATTTTCAAATCATTTGGTTTTGTAGTTACGTATATGTTAATAGTAGATAATGCTGTCTGTTCTGAACTACTTCTGCACCACTGATGCTGAGCATGGACTTGTGGCCAATGTAATCTGATTTACAGCTGGATTCCCTCTATTTTGGCTTCACTTGTAATGCCCCTTAAATGTTTCCAGCCCTATATGTTTCTCTGCCCACTCCTCTTGCCTGCCTTTCATGGAAATGAAAAGGTGCTAATTTCTTTTCACAGTGTTATTGGTGTAAAGTAAGTACAGTTTACAAGCAAGAAGTTGTAAGTGGAGCGAATTATGGGGATGGCTGTGTGGTTTGGGCTCTACTTCAGGTTTCCAGTTTTCAGTTTTTCCTTTGTACAATTTTCTCTTGTTTTTTTTTGTTTTGGTTTTAATTTGGAAATAGTTTTGGATGTTGTTTGGAGCTTGAAGCTGCATATATTATTGTCACACTCAGGTACTTCTGAGTTTATACTGGGATTTCCTTCCCTGAAGTAGAAAGATCTGCTTTTACCTGTTTAACTCTACATCCCTAGCTGTGCTGGAGTACCGCAGTCCTTATCCCTGCCTTCTCACAGGCAGCGGCCCTGTGGGTACTGGTGATGTACCCACACCCTCTCTTTTTCCTGGAGCTCGTAACAGGCTTCATTCTTGGATGCTGTGCAACCTCCAGTTCATGGTGTCCTTAAGTGGGAATTTGGCCCAAGCTTCACTTTGTGCAGCTGACCCCTGTGTCGTATTCTCGTTTTAAATAAATGAAGTGTTGGTCATTTTTTCCTCACCTCACTTTCAGTGATCATAAGCCAGTCTGAGAGGTCTCCAGGTAAGTCTTTGTAGCAAACTCTCTCGCCTCCCCGAAAAGCTTTCAGACCACTATGTGCATCTGAATTAGAGAAGTCTTCCACCTGTAGTCAGCTATTTGTGCTGATCACCAACCTAAAAATTATGCCATTGCCACCAGCACAGAGCCATTTCCTCCTTCATAAGATGCCTTGACCTAATTCTTACTACAGAGGAAGTACTTGTTCACATCTCCCCGGTGGTCTGCTGATATGAGGGTATTTTCAGGATATTTTGTTCTGTGGCTGTTTGGGAGCATCGCTCCTTGTATATTGTAAGGAGAGGCCCTGCCTTGCTCATTATGGTCCTCAGCAGAGCTGAGCTCTTTCCTCGCGGCTGCCTTGGGATGCTTGTGGAGTGTGGGTGGTGTTTTGGGCCACTGTGCTGCTGACAAAGGTTTATATTCATATTTAAATAACATAAAAGATTATTATCTTTGAGATCAGCTGGAGCTTTACTTAAGGACACACACAGTAGGAGAGCACAACATCTGAGTATTTTTCACAATAACTCAGTAGCCAAGACTTTTTAGAGCCACTGTTTGAACCTCATATTTACAAAAGCCATCAAACAAAAGAAAGGGCCATTGCTAGCCGTGTTATTGCGGTCAGATGCTATATAAAGGTGATTTAAACAGATGGGAAATAGGCTTGTGAGGTTTTTCCTTTTCTCTTTTTCCCTGGAGCCCCTGAATAAAGGGATTTTTTTTTTGGTTGTTTATCTTTTATTTCTACCGCTTGTCTCATTCTCATTGCACATGTGAGTCTTAGCTCATCCTGTAAGTCTCTGTGGGTAATGGAAAAAAAATCAGAGAGTTTATGGCATAATGAAGTAAATTAAGTCTGACTAGCTGAAAGTGGCATCATTTTTGCTCTGGTTGCTTGAAGCATTTTTCAAGGTCCAGGGGGAGGCTGGCAAGCTGCTGCTGTTGGTGATGCATGCAGGTCCTCATCTCAGGTGTGAGCAGGCTTCCTCAGCTCCCAACCACCTGAATGTGACCTTGGAAGGGAAGATGTTCATGCAGTGGATATGCCTGGCCTCTGCCAGAGGTGCCACAGTTCTTCTTGAGTGAGAGGGAGGTGTCAGGGCAGGGGTTGATGTGCTTTTCCAACCGTAGCTTCACAAGAAGTGGGGTATGGTCCCTGTCATGGCTCCCTTTGCTCTCCCCGGTCCCCCCTGCTCACCAGGCAGCTTTGGGTTGTTCTTCAGAAGACAAAGGCATGTAGAATTCAGTTGACAGGTGGGAATGACCACTTGACTG